ATGGTTGGCACAAACATAAATCTATGCTCAGAGAAAAAAAAAAAAACAAAAAACACAAAAACAAATAAAACAAAAAACCCCCCCCCAAAAAAAAAAAAAAACACCAAACAAGACAAAAAAAAACCCAAACACCCCCCCCCCCCCCCCCGAAAAAAGAAAACAAGAAAAAAAAAAAAAATGGGTATACTCGATGGACCTAGGGTTCTCAATTCCTTTGACCATCTTTTTAAAACCAATGATGGTTTTAATGGTGGAATGGGTTTCCAACCTGAATTGGGGACAGAGTGCTGAGACTGGTGAAACGGAGCAAGAAAGGGACATCTTCCAATGGGCACATGTCTACCGATGACAACAGTCAAGGTGCCCAAAGACTGAATCCAGCTTCCCAGGCCAAATTAATCCACGAATAACTATTTGATTGTCTCACAAGCAGAGGGCACTTTAATCTTTCTAAAGTTCTACTCTCTGGTATAGTGAGGCACTGGTGACGTAGTCAGGGCCTCACAGCTCTCTCCTGAGATGGCCATGTCACCAGTGCCTTCCAAGGAGGTCCTATTTCTAAACTGTGGGATTTTTAGCTGATGAGCCTAATGTGTTAGGATGTTATGGCTCATGGACAAACATCATTGGTGGGAAAAAAAAGTCGGCCAATGATGGTTTTAATGGTGGAATGGGTTTCCAACCTGAATTGGGGACAGAGCGCTGAGACTGGTCAAACGGAGCAAGAAGGAGACCTCTTCCGATGGGCACATGTCTACCGGTGACAACAGTCTGAGACTTTTGTATTTATATAAACAGAATTAAATTGAACTAGCATAAATATCAGAATCTGACTGGACTGTAGCCTATTGAAATCCAATGCACACGAGCACACTGGAGAAGGGAGAGTGTTACAACAATACCCCCTGGCAGGTGACATGGACTCACCCTAGGAACGGAGTCTAAGCACCAGTTGGTTTTCACCAAAGCTCCTGATGGTGGAGATGGGTTGGGAACAGTGGTGTATTTAGGTTTCGTGCTGCCCTAGGCAACACAGAAATTGGCTCCCCCCATTGACCAACAACACCCCAGTTTCCCCCACCTGAGAGAGCCTTCTATTACCACCGCTCCCCATACACTGGCAACCCCCCACCCCGACAAGAGATAAGACACTCACCTTCACAGCTCCAGACATCCCCGGGAACAAGAGTCAGGCTCTGCACACAGCCTCTCTCAGATCCCACCTGGTCCCCCCGTGCTGCGTGTGTCCCTTCTTCCTTTCCTTCTTTCAGGGAGATAGCGCTGTCCCCCTGAAAAAAGCTGCTGCCCCCTGAAAAATGCTGCCCTAGGCAAATGCCTTGTGGTTAATACACCCCTGATTGGGAAGCCATAGTGGCCTCCAGAATGCTTTCAGCGATATGGTCATGGCCTTCATGATCGCCCCAGTTGAGACTGGAAAGTTAGTGTGGAAAATGTACACTAACTGCTAAGCAAAAGAGCAGTCAGATCCAGGCAGAGGTGGTGGCAGGAGGCAGGCATGAGGGTTGTCAGGTTTCGGCCACGTTAGGGGCACATGGCAGGCAAGAGAGTGATCAGTTCCAGGCGACGGTTGTAGGCAAGCAGCAGGCAGGAGAGTAGTCAGGTTCAGTTGAAACTGAAACACATTAATTACACGGGTTCTGTGGCTGATTAAGGTGGTAATTACCCTCACTGAGCGCCTTCTCTGCATTAATATAGCCCCAGGACCCGTGTCATTATTATGGGTTTGGTTTTGAAGGGATGAGGTGGCAACCCTAGTTGGAAGCCATGGGCAAGACATTTCGATTTTTGCATTTTTTTTTTTTCACATGCAACTGCGCAGGACAAATAGCTCAGTGATTTTGTTTTTCTATAAATACACCCCATAGAGTTTCTTCAGCAATAAAATCTTCCTTGTCAGATATTTTTATTTTCAAAGTGTAACTTCACTTTTATTAAAGTGTTACTGAACCCACAACAGTAAAATCAGTCTGTAGATGCAGTAAAGCATGCTTGTTATACTCACTGTGCAACCTAAGGGGTTAATCCTCTGCATTGTGTAAAAAGGCCCTTTGATTCTTTCTTCTCTGTTCTTCCCCTTTTTCAAAGGACCACCTCTTATCTCCTGATAAGACAGACTGAACTGTAGGCATTTTGCACATGCTCAGTTTAGTGTGTATTGCTAGAGAGTTTTTTTTTTCCTCTTGGGAGAGTGCATGTGATGAGCACAGGGCCAACCAGCACTGTCCAGACAGAAGTCAGGGGTTCTGCATCCTCCTAGAGTAGAAAGAAAACTCATCCTACAAGCTTTAACCAGTGCTCTGTTGGACACTGTTAGAAGTCAAAAGACTGCTCTATACAGCTGATGAGAAATGGTATTTAGCAGTTTATATTTATTACAATAATTGCATTTCCATATTCTGTGTACTGTGGGATATAGTGAATGAAGGATCCTGGGAGAGTGGATATAGTGAATGCAGGGTCTGGGGAGAGCGGATATAGTGAATGCAGGGTCCGGGGAGAGACCGGATATAGTGAATTCAGGGTCCCGGGAGACCGGATATAGTGAATGCAGTGGGGTCCGGGGAGAGCAGATATAGTGAATGCAGGGTCCGGGGAGAGCAGATATAGTGAATGCAGGGTCCGGGGGAGAGTGGATATAGTGAATGCAGGGTCCGGGGAGACCAGATATAGTGAATGCGGGGTACGGGGGAGAGCGGATATAGTGAATGCGGGGTCCAGGGAGACTGGATATAGTGAATGCGGGGTCCCAGGGAGAGCGGATATATTGAATGCAGGGTCTGGGTGGGGGGAGCGGATATAGTGAATACGGGGTCCAGGGAGAGCGGATCTAGTGAGTGCATGGCCTGGGGGGGGGGGGGGGGGGGGGGGGGGGGAGACCAGATATGGTGTGAATGCAGGGTCCGGGGAGACCGGATATGGTGAATGCGGGGTCTGGGGAGACTGGATATTGTGAATACAGGGCCTTTAGAGATGGTGAAATGCAGGGTTCCGGGGAGACCGGATATGGTGAATGCAGGGTCCAGGGAGACCAGATACAGTGAATGCAGGGTCTGGGGAGAGCGGATATAGTGAATGCATGGTCCGGGGAGACCATATATAGTGAATGCAGGGTCTGGGGAGACTGGATATAGTGAATGCAGGGTCTGGGGAGACTGGTTATAGTGAATGCAGGGTCCGGGGGGGGAGACCAGATATATAGTGAATGCAGGGTCCGGGGAGAGCGGATACAGTGAGTGCAGGGTCCGGGGAGAGCGGGATACAGTGAGTGCAGGGTCCGGGGAGAGCGGATATAGTGAATGTGGGGTCCGGGGAGAGCGGATACAGTGAGTGCAGGGTCCGGGGAGAGCGGATATAGTGAATGCGGGGTCCGGGGAGAGCGGATATAGTGAATGCGGGGTCGGGGGGGAGACCGGATATAGTGAATGCGGGGTCCGGGGAGAGCGGATATAGTGAATGCAGGGTCCGGGGAGACCAGATATAGTGAATGCAGGGTCTGGGGAGACCGGATATAGTGAATGCAGGGTCCAGGGAGACCTGATATGATGAATGCAGGGTCCGGGGTTTAGTAACACTTTAAGAAAAAAAAAAATCAGACCCCTCTGGGTGGGTGATGTACATTGCAGGGATATTACCAAACTTTGTTGCAGATTCTTACTGAATGCTTACTTCATGTCCTAATGAGTCTTTGTCCCTTTATACCTATTTAACCCTTTGGGAGTATTTCACTGAAACTGAAATTCACTGAAACTGAAAATTCCTATTGTAGAGGATGCCTAAATCAGACTTGAGTGCACATTTCTAGGGAAATCAGAGAGCCAATCACACAAGTAGGAAATGACATTCCTGGGGGCGATCTGAACACCAAGGGTATACATACATATTGCATTAAACCTGCAGATTGGAAAGGAAAGGTTACTTTAAATAACATTAATTACAATATCACAATTATTTTTATTTGCTCAACAACAGTGATGTTACCCTCTAAGCACTTGCCCACCGCCCTGTAGTAGAAGTATTGCTGCAGGGCTGTGCAAAATCACATATATACACATATATATATATATATATACCTATATTTCCGGGTAGAGGGGGCGTGCACGCCGCCCTACCCGCGCCGCCATTAGCTACAGATGTCAATCACTGGGTCCCCGCCCAGAGATTCCCTGCCAGCACCCTGCGATCACCGAGTAAAACTGACAGAGGTGAGACCTGTGTGTAAACAGCATAGATCCTTCTCCTGCCAGCAAGCACATGCTGCTGTGTATCTCTCTGCACAGCAGCATGTCTCCCTAGTATAACACACACAACACACAGTTAACCCTTTGATCGCCCCAGATGTTAACCCCTTCCTCCCCAGTGCCATTAGTACTGTATTAGTGTCGATGGCAGTTAGTCAGTCCCCCCCCAGTGTCAGAATGCCCGCCGCCGCAGTCCCTCTATAAGTTGCTAATCGCCACCATTACTAGTATAAAAAACTTAAAATTCCAGTATGCGGGCCGCGTTTTGCACGGGCACAAGAGCCCATTCATTTTAATGGACTCCCGTGCCCCATGACACTCAGGGGAGAAGTCCCTGCACTTCTTCCGAAAAACGCAGCCCACACGGGAACCTCGGTTCCCAGTACGGTTGCGTTTTCCAGTGTGGGCGGCGTGCCATTAGAACTAATAGCACCCGCCTGCAGGTCCGCATTTCTCTGTGCGGGTGGTGCGGCTGCACTTATTTTCGTGCGGATCCGCAATGGCACAACCCGCACATATGTGAACCGGGGGTCATATAGGTATTAGTTAATAAAGAACACCCGTCCTAATCAGCACTCCTGAATCCTGAGGATACACCTACTAATAACAAAACATATAAAACCATTGCATCAAAAATCGTGATCTCAAAGAACAACAAGAAAAGAGGAAAAGAAAAAGGAAAGCGAAGTGGAATAAAAGGAGAAACAAAGAAAACGAAAAGGAATAATGGATAAAAATAATTATGAAATTAAGTGCAAAATAACACTTTAAATATGTGAAAGATCAGTGATCATTCACATAATTATCATATTGCATCTTAACAATCCTCAGATGTGATGGCTGCATTGGTTTTCTTTTTTAGACTTTCTTTCTATTTTCATCTGTGGTCTAGTGAATATATTTTTTTTTTCAAAATAACAAGCTCTTTTGTTTATGTACCAGTTACAGGAATAAGACAAACCATTTAGGGGTGCTTACAATGACTAGATTTTATTTATTCATGTAAAACCTTTAAAATGTTTGCTGCAACTGCTTAGAAAGTGTTAGCTGGAATTTGGCTTCAATTTGTTGCTGTATTTAAATCTGCTAAGCAGGGGCAGACTGACCATTCGGGAACTCGGGCACTGCCCGAGGGCCCAGGGTCAGTAGGGGGCCCCATGAGATGCCTCTGGTACCTTTTCATAGGTTTTTTTTGGGTGTGGTTTGAGTGTGGGCGAGGACACAGGGGCCCCATGATCCCCTATTGTCCAGGGGCCCCATGTGTTCGCTGTCCACCCCTGCTGCTAATACATCTACCCCCCCCCCCCGATTGACAATGCTGCTGTCTGCTGTGCCTTCTTTGCTCAATTATCCAGCGTGGGGGGCGCTCTAATACAGGAGATGTTTTACTTGCAGGATCATCAGATGCAGACAGAAAAAAAAGAAAACTAATGCAACCACCATATATATTACATTTTTGGTTTGGGGTTTAATACCACTTTAAGGCTTTTGTTCTGCGTTACGTTTTTGCTTTTCATCAGCTTTATGTTGTTTAATCAAACATCCAAAATGCAATTGATTGTTTATAAGGCAGCCAATTGTAAATGTTGGATTCAACTTCGAAAGATTCGCTGTCCAGCTAAGTCACTCGGCTCTCTTTTCAGTTGGGAAGGGGAATCTGTATGGCTCAGGGGATTGACTTCCTTTCCTATCTTCCCTTTTTCTTTCTATTCTTCCAGCTTCCAGATGTTAAATACGCCTTTCATTTTGTAAAGATTGGCAATCAATACATTATTAGTAATCAATGTGTGCCGTACTCCATGAGGTCACCCTGGTGATTCATACTGGTCTTTGCCAGGACGAAGGATCGTTAGGAAGCGCAACTTCAAAAAACAATTCTACAAAGTTCATTAGAGAAGAAATAACTGTCGGAAAAATGTTTTTTTTCCCTGTAGCTCTGGAAGAGAATTTGTGTTAATGATTGTTCACAGAAGCTCAGAAATCTATTCTTATAGCCGGTATCAGACTTTCCAGGGACGCTTTTCCAGCTTTCCACCGAGGTGCTAAACCCAAAGCTTTGCTTTGATTCCTGGTGGAGATACTTGTGATAGAATGTCGGCGTCCCAAAAATTGTACCGAAGGAGATTTTATGGTGGAGGAAAATCCTGTCTGCACAAAGGAATAATATTCAAGCATAGCTCCCAGCTGTCCCTGATTTCGAGGGACTGTCCCTGATTTCGAGGGACTGTCCCTGGTTTTCCAGCTTTCTACAAGGTGCTAAATCCAAAGCTTTACTTTGATTCCTGGTGGAGATACTTGTGATAGGATGTCGGCGTCCCAAAGATTGTATCGAAGGAGATTTTATGGTGGAGGAAAATCCTGTCTGCACAAAGGAATAATATTCAAGCATAGCTCCCAGCTGTCCCTGATTTCAAGGGACTGTCCCTGATTTCGAGGGACTGTCCCTGGTTTTCCAGCTTTCTACCAAGGTGCTAAATCCAAAGCTTTACTTTGATTCCTGGTGGAGATACTTGTGATAGGATGTCGGCGTCCCAAAGATTGTATCGAAGGAGATTTTATGGTGGAGGAAAATCCAGTCTGCACAGAGGAATAATATTCAAGCATAGCTCCCAGCTGTCCCTGATTTCGAGGGACTGTCCCTGATTTCGAGGGACTGTCCCTGGTATTCCAGGTTTCTACTGAGGTGCTAAATCCAAAGCTTTACTTTGATTCCTGGTGGAGATACTTGTGATAGAATGTCGGTGTCCCAAAAATTGTACCGAAGGAGATTTTATGGTGGAGGAAAATCCTGTCTGCACAGAGGAATATATTCAAGCATAGCTCCCAGCTGTCCCTGATTTCGAGGGACTGTCCCTGATTTCGAGGGACCTTCCCTGGTTTTCCAGCTTTCCACCGAGGTGCTAAATCCAAAGCTTTACTTTGATTCCTGGTGGAGATACTTGTGATAGAATGTCGGTGTCCCAAAAATTGTACCGAAGGAGATTTTATGGTGGAGGAAAATCCTGTCTGCACAGAGGAATTATATTCAAGCATAGCTCCCAGCTGTCCCTGATTTCGAGGGACTGTCCCTGATTTCGAGGGACCTTCCCTGGTTTTCCAGCTTTCCACCGAGGTGCTAAATCCAAAGCTTTACTTTGATTCCTGGTGGAGATACTTGTGATAGAATGTTGGCGTCCCAAAAATTGTACCGAAGGAGATTTTATGGTGGAGGAAAATCCTGTCTGCACAAAGGAATAATATTCAAGCATAGCTCCCAGCTGTCCCTGATTTTGAGGGACTGTCCATGATTTCGAGGGACTGTCCCTTGTTTTTCAGCTTTCCACCGAGGTGCTAAATCCAAAGCTTTACTTTGATTCCTGGTGTAGATACTTGTGATAGGATGTCGGCGTCCCAAAAATTGTACCTAAGGAGATTTTATGGTGGAGGAAAATCCGGTCTGCACAGCGGAATAATATTCAGGCATAGCTCCCAACTGTCCCTGATTTCGAGGGACTGTCCATAATTTCGAGGGGCTGTCCCTGCTTTTCCAGCTTTCCATGAAGGTGCTAAATCCAAAGCTTTACTTTGATTCCTGGTGTAGATACTGTGATAGGATGTCAGTGTCCCAAAAATTGTACCGAAGGAGATTTTATGGTGGAGGAAAATCCTGTCTGCACAGAGGAATAATATTCAAGCATAGCTCTAAATACCCAAATAGTGACTGCATCTGATTGGATGTAGTCACTGTTCAGTCAACAATTTTCCACCTGGCTTTTTTACCTGAATTTTGTCAAGCTGGGGGATGCTGACAAAGCCATCCACACCTTGAATATTGGCTGGTTCAACAGGAACCAGCCCAAATCAAGCCGAATTCTAGAGAGGTCTGTTCAGTTTTTGTTGGTGTCTTACAAAAGCAAATAGGCTGTTCACTTTGTAAGGGAATTTTCTCTTAACTTAGTGAATAAGGAGGTGCTCTACTTACGTCCATCATCCAATCATGTACAAGCAAAAGGCCCCTTTCAGACAGGGCGGACCCGTCAATGGATCCACTTGCTTAGCGGGGGATCTCTCTGCTGATCCCCGCTGAGCAAGCTGATGACAGGTCTGTGTCCGCTCCACTGCTGTGAGTGGACACAAACACTGCCCACTGTTTTCTATGGGGCGGTCGGATGGATACGGTCAACCTGTCCATTTCCACCCTACTGTCATCTGATCTGAACCACCGGACAGATGGGGAACGGATCACCATACCTCTTATATAGTTATATAGTTAGTCTGGCTGAAAAAAGAAAAAAGTCCATCCATTTCAACCATTAAAAGGAAAAAAAAGTTATAATCCTATACCCACAGTCGGAGGGAGGCAAAAAAAACCAGCAAAGCATGATCGCCCCATTATATATTAGACATGGAGATCATACCCCCCCTTATGTATTATACATGGAGATCATATCCCCCCTTATGTATTATACATGGAGATCATACCCCCCCTTATGTATTATACATGGAGATCATATCCCCCCTTATGTATTATACATGGAGATCATATCCCCCCTTATGTATTATACATGGAGATCATATCCCCCTTATGTATTATATATGGAGATCATATCCCCCTTATGTATTATACATGGAGATCATATCCCCCCTTATGTATTGTACATGGAGATCATATCCCCCCTTATGTATTATACATGGAGATCATATCCCCCCTTATGTATTATACATGGAGATCATATCCCCCTTATGTATTATACATGGAGATCATATCCCCCTTATGTATTATACATGGAGATCATATCCCCCCTTATGTATTATACATGGAGATCATATCCCCCTTATGTATTATATACATATCCCCCCTTATGTATATACATGGAGATCATATCCCCCCTTATGTATTATACATGGAGATCATATCCCCCCTTATGTATTATACATGGTGATCGTATCCCCCCTTATGTATTATACATGGTAATCATATCCCCCCTTATGTATTATAAATGGTGATCGTATCCCCCCTTATGTATTATACATGGAGATCATATCCCCCCCTTATGTATTATACATGGAGATCATATCCCCCCTTATGTATTGTACATGGAGATCATATCCCCCCTTATGTATTATACATGGAGATCATATCCCCCCTTATGTATTATACATGGAGATCATATCCCTTTTATGTATTATACATGGAGATCATATCCCCCTTATGTATTATACATGGAGATCATATCCCCCTTATGTATCATACATGGAGATCATATCCCCCCCCCTTATGTATTATACATGGAGATCATATCCCCCTTATGTATTATACATGGAGATCATACCCCCCCCCCCCTTATGTATTATACATGGAGATCATATCCCCCCCTTATGTATTGTACATGGAGATCATATCCCCCCTTATGTATTATACATGGAGATCATATCCCCCCCTTATGTATTATACATGGAGATCATATCCCCCCTTATGTATTATACATGGAGATCATATCCCCCCTTATGTATTATACATGGAGATCATATCCCCCCTTATGTATTATACATGGAGATCATATCCCCCTTATGTATTATACATGGAGATCATACCCCCCCTTATGTATTATACATGGAGATCATATCCCCCCTTATGTATTATACATGGAGATCATATCCCCCTTATGTATTATATATGGAGATCATATCCCCCTTATGTATTATACATGGAGATCATATCCCCCCTTATGATCATATTATATTATACATGGAGATCATATCCCCCCTTATGTATTATACATGGAGATCATATCCCCCTTATGTATTATACATGGATCCCCCTTATGTATTATCATATCCCCCCTTATGTATTATACATGGAGATCATATCCCCCCTTATGTATTATACATGGAGATCATATCCCCCTTATGTATTATACATGGAGATCATATCCCCCTTATGTATTATACATGGAGATCATATCCCCCTTATGTATTATACATGGAGATCATATCCCCCCTTATGTATTGTACATGGAGATCATATCCCCCCTTATGTATTATACATGGAGATCATATCCCCCCTTATGTATTATACATGGTGATCATATCCCCCTTATGTATTATACATGGAATCATATCCCCCCTTATGTATTATAATGGTGATCGTATCCCCCCTTATGTATTATACATGGAGATCATATCCCCCCCTTATGTATTATACATGGAGATCATATCCCCCCTTATGTATTATACATGGAGATCATATCCCCCCTTATGTATTATACATGGTAATCATA